TCCTCCGAATCATCGCTACAACCTGCCGGAGTATGTGGTTGATGCCTTGTGGCCTATTTATTACACGCGCCTCTCTGACAAGAAATTGCTGGAGCGTTGTCAGCGAGGCAAAACACAGAACCCAAACGAGAGCCTGCACTCCGTCATCTGGTCGCTCGTGTCCAAAAACAAACACTCATCGCTTTTCACCATTGAAGCTGCTGTGGCCGAAGCTGTCGCAAGGTTCAACGCTGGCAAAGGGAAAGCAGATGCCGCCATATTGAAGGAGCTTCACCTGCAGCAGAGCGTTGTGGCCACTGAAAGATGCTCAGAAAAGGACAGGCGCCGACTAGTGGCATCGGAGAAGAAGCATGAGCATGCTGAAAACTTCAAGCATGCCATGAAAAGAAAGCGCACCAAGGAGAATGATGATTACATTCTTGGTGGCTTCTAACATGGTTAATACACCAATTCACACCTTTTCTTGTTAAATATAAGTGCTCAGCATGTTCAAAAACTTCTTTTCTCGTTTTCTCAAAACAACATTTTTCATCACACCCTAAGCCATTGCCCACAGTATCTTTTGATGTAGCAGTCGGATTTTTATAATTCTTGCAGCATTTGAAAGCTTATGAATTGATTAGTGCACGAAAACCAAAAAAATGTAATATTTTTATTTACAATAGTGATTTAATTAGCAACAAACTTAAGCAACAGTTTCTGATTTCTAATGAGTATACTCGTTAAGGCCATAACTCTGGTACCAATGAAGCTAAAAATAAAATGACGGTTTTGTTGCACTCCCTGGCCTTCATGGAATGCTGTCATATCAAATTTGTAGCAATATTTTATGAGGAAGATGTCAAAAGGCTGGGCAGAATGCAAGTTTATGTAACAGTCAATATTGTATTAAAATTTCAGCTGGAAATACTGAAAATTAAAAAAAAAAAATTTTCAGACCAGTGTCTGCAGTGAACTTGACACTGCTTCTCCCAGAAACTGTAGCTGGAGACTTTCGTTAGTGCGTCGCAAATAGTTCTCCATAGATTGGAATTTTTAGCATGTTGTCAACACACGCAAAAAATAAAATTGCACATCGAAGTAACAAAGCAAGAAGTTTATGGTCTGTTATTAATCAAAGAAAGTGTATGACGTGTTTAAAACAGAAAAGCGAGCAAATTGGTGCACTGCTCAAGAAGTTGCCCAAGTGCCCAACTTAACGCACACCTAGGCACCCAAATGACCCAAAGTCAGTGTTCATGTGTCGAAACACTTGCAATCAATATCTCACCAGAAGCTTCGAACCACAGTCACAGTGGCACAATTTGTGTGCAAGTTACTCCCAACTGCATATGTTGATGTCGCGGAACTGTCAGCTTTACGAATGACACGTACTACACTTTTCTTCCCCATTTCATATAATGCACTAAGAAAAATTGGGTCTCACACAGCATTATTATCTTCCACATTGCATATAATGCACTGTCTTGAGGAGAGATGCTCCTTGAAAAACCTTTTTTCACAAATATTTGTGACAGCTCAATGAAACTTTCACTGTTTATAGAGTTTGATCTCCTCTTTTCAAATATGCTTTCACTTTTTTGATAGCTCATTTAGTTATTTTTATAGATCATGCATTTGTAAAAAACAATGCTTTTTTGCGCAAGCTTAGGCAACAATAGTAAGCACAAGAAAGCTCTAAAAAATAGCAAATGTTCTTAATGAATTGAAATTTAATAAAGCAAAGAAACATCGTGTAACACATGTGTGCTGGCCTAGAAAAAATTCTAATGCCGTGTTTCAGTTTTACCATACTCAAAGAACAAGCTTTTGAAACTATCTAGCTGTTCATGCTTTGTAGACCTCTAAAATTTGCTTATTTGAACTTAGGACATGTTAAACATTAAGCATGCCAAGTTTTGTTGCAATCCGACTTCATAAAGCGTACATATTTTAGTGCTACAACTATAAAAATGCTGAAAAATGAGGAGCTGAGAAAAACAGGTTTGAAAGTTAAAAAACATGTTTAATTCTATATCTGCAACCGATCTGCACAAAATTCACAGAGAATGTCACCAAGGCTCTCTGGAAAGAGTTCACAGTTTTAAAAGAATCCAGCACCATACGTTGGACCCTCATAGTCCCTGCGAGCTGCCTCCTCTAAGTGGGATTTTTTTGCGGTACTGTAACGATGGACATTTGCTTTGGCTGTGACCTTTGCCATCATGCTAAAAATGCGCCTCTTGTTGGTGTCCTTGCTTAGAGAAAGCAATTCCTCAGACGGGAGAACTCCTAAGTTCTTGAAACACCTCCTCAAACACAGAGTGCCCACGGTTGAACCAAAGAACAGCGATTGCTGTCGTTGCTTCAACCACGGTTCTTGTCCCAAATTTTGTTTTTGGGCACGAGAGCCATATTTTGGTGTTGATCGATTCAGCTGCGTTTTGTGCCTGTCCTTTCATGCAACGCTGAAGCAGCTTTTCTTCTGTCAGTCTTTTGTGGACTGGCAGCATTGCCTTGCCTTGGGAAGGAGTCAGGATGGGAGTGTGGGGTGGTGCTGGTTCACCCAGTGTTTGTGCTCGCTAGTGCTTGCACCAAGACACATCACCGTCTGGGCAAAAATAGTGACTCCCGGCACTATCCCTTGAGCAAGAGTAAGTAGGATGCCCAGACAGCACAATACATGTTGCAAACACTGCCTCGGTTACTTGTGATTGCCACGTGAAAATAGCCTTGCAGCTTGTGAATTGTTGCGTCCTTCAGCTTCTGCCCTCTTGGCGTCTTCAATTTTTGGAGAGCTGTTCCAAGTTTTGGCGACATGATTCGTGCAGTCCTCCTCTTAACACAAGGAACACCTTCACATACAGATTCAGTTCTGACACAGCAGGATATGCTTTGCTGTCCCCATCAGAAAGAAACGTGAACTGCAAAAGTGTGGTGCAGGAATCCAATCTTTTCCATGTTTTTGCCATGTTCCGTCCAACATGACTACATCTGACGATTCGCCATCGTCGGCAGTCAGCTGTCTTGCTTGTGTGATGTTTTCAGCGGCGACTTTCATGGCGGCTGTGTGCACTTTTTTAGCAATGGCCGTGAAGGTCTTATGATGCACTGGTTTTGTAACGCCAAGGATCACGCAAAACCGCACAAGCTAATCACATCCGATGCCGATTGCACGCACTGCGACCACTGACTTCACATTCACGGCGAAACTATCCCGTGCGCTGCCGCTGACATATGTATCCTCTCTTTCACTGCATGGCGCAGACACGCGGTTCGGCATGTACGTTGATGAAACGACAGTTGTAGCACATGCGTCATTTCAGCAATGAAGTTCTAAAAACAATGCCAGTCCTTTTCGTCTATATGCCGATTCTCGAACAGACAGCTCACACCGCCAGCAGTTAGGGCATACTGCACCAGCTGACGAGGTTCCGCATCAAGTCAATCTCGCAAATAAATGTGCTACCGCTGTCACGTTGACGCTCGCTTTTGTCGTTGAACATCTTAATTTCTCTTTCGGAAGCACTGACGAAGTCATTGACGCTATGGATGAAGGTAGGATAATCCAAATCAGGTGCTTCGTCGTTGCCGGGGCTAGGCCTAGCAGCAGACGAACCTCTCCGCTTGCCTTTGGTGCGCCTTCCCTTGAACACTGGTGCTCAACTTACGTGAACAACAGTCACGTTTTTCGCCGGCATGCATCGGCCCCATGGCGGAGAAAAAGCAACTCAGGCGGTTGTTTTTGTCGTCTCGTCTCTGTAAAAACAAGAAAACGAAGAAAGAGCGCTCGGATGCGCGTCCGAATGCTCGCAACCAATGGCGGTGCTCGAATCGTGTAACGTGACTTAAAAGACAGACTTGCCACGTTGGAATGCAGTGGGGAAAGAATTTTTTGTTGTTGTTGTATTTTAAGCGAGGATGCCACACTGCCGAAGTGGGCTTTCGGAAGGGAGGGTTAGGCCTACATACCCGCGAAATTTCAAGAGCCGGCGATGCCACAGAACGGAGTGCCGCGTGCGTGCAATCGGGTAATTTTCGCACTTTTGCGAGCTACCGCGAGTGCTTTATTGGTATTTTTCGATAACTTCTAGTTGATTCTCATCTTTTATTTTTTAACATATTAAGAATAAGGCTTGAAGGAATACAAAACGCAACAAAATACAAAATTGACTTTCAAAAATTGAAGCTTTGACCCACATCTCCCCTTGAAAAAATTGCATCTCGCACAGCATTATTCACAACACCATTTCTTCCAACTGGAAGAACTTCAATAAGCCACTGTTAAAAAGTTTTCATATACCACTCCCACCAGAGGAGGCTGTTGGGCAGAATGAAGGAAAAATATGGGCGGGAGTGTCACGCGGCAACCTTGAAGCCTAGTCATCGAAAATTCAAGGGAGAAACTGGCCTTCGTCATGTGATAAGCAAGCGCTACCATTTCTCGCATCGCTTTGGCTATGTCTGTTGTAGCAAGAGAATTTCCTGTGAATACACTAGAGGAAACTCTCACACTAGTGTCTACGAGAGCTGCAAGGCACAGCGCTTCGGCCAGCATGGGAATGATACACGGATTTGTCTGATCATTCTTTTGGCTTCGTTTGGCTTTGCATGGCTTGGAGCCACTTCGTCACGAGACGACGATCAGCAGTTGCACATAATCACATCAACTTTTTAGCCTCACCAATTCAAATCGCGTCACAAAGTTCACAACCGTCGTTCTTTTGTTCGAAACAAAACCAAAACACGGCAATAAACAAAGCCATAAGTGCATTCGAAGCTCGCAAGCGCGAAAACTGGGCAAACTTGTGCACTACCCATCATTCCCATGGTGGCTAAATGATTGCAGCGCCAGAGTTCCCTCTACTCAATTTGGGGAAATAATTTGGCAGTGGCGTCCCAATTCCAACCAACAAACACCGCAACACTGGTCAGGGCTGCATCAAAGGAAGCTGGCTTGCTCCCTCCTAGATATTTTTTTTTTCTTTCCTCCATGCTGTTGAAGACCCAGCGAGACCTACCGGCGTTGTCGGCCTCTTCCAAAAAGGCGCTGTAACTGGCGATGCGCGCAGCGATGGGCTGCCGACCCCCCAACTGTCCGTTCACGACAATGTCGCCCGACGCCGCCATACCGAAGGTCGTGGACGAAGGGGAGGTGGAGGACAGGTTCTGGGAGGCCGAGGAGGACGGCACCGCAGGAGGCGGGGCCGAGGGGGCCGAAAAAGCCGGGATGCGAGGCAGCGGGTTCGTCACAAAGGCAAAGGGGGGGTTGCCCCCCTGCCCGCCCTCGTTGGAAGAAGCGGCGGCCGTGCCGGGTGTCGACAGCGAAGCCAGCATCGCTTGCAAGGCAGACCGCTTGGGTCCTAGGGTGGCAGTGGCAAGGAGGGAAAGGAGTGCAAGGAGGAGAAAGAAAAAAACATGCAAGAAGCACAAGGTCATGCAGGCTGTCTTCTCTCCCACCAAAAATGGGCACACCCAAAAGAAGAGAGAAGCATTCAAACTATACCATGCAGTGCACACTAAACAATAAAATGCCTTCTGTGATAAATCGCACATGTCGTGAAAAGTACATGCAACATTTGGCTGCAACAGAGCAAGCAATTGAGATGTGTGGCCTTGTATGCCAGCCAGAACAAGCTTTGCAAGAGTGTTGTCCCCTGCTACAAGCAGAGCGGGCCTAACAGACAAACAAGAACCATCTCAATTGCACCTCCCTAGTGTGGCAGAATGTTTTTCCTCTGGATCTAACAGTCTAAAAAAATAAAAGTAGATAACATGAATAAAGAAAGTTCCAAAATAGCCACATTGCTGTACCAAAAAGGCAATGCCAACAAGGCTATGCAGCGATCTCCTGATAAGTGCTATGTGGGCCCATCTAGGTGTACTCAACATCAAGCATGCAGGGCAATCACTCCTTGCAGCTGGCAAAATGCAAGTGCTATTTAACAGGCATGGCAAGCGCAGGTATCCCTTAAGCACTACTACAGTCACCTACACATTATTATAGTGAGCAAGCCACACTTCATAAACCAGTAACTACAGCAAGAGATTTGTCGGAAAACCAAAGCCACTTCACACATGACACGAAAACCGCTGAGCATCCAACTGACCACCACTTCCATCGCAATGACACTGCTTGGAAGGTGCGCCACCATCCCCATGCTAAAAAACTTTTTTTTACATTGGGTTCCACGAATGTGCCATGGCAGCTAAACATTACCATAACCTACATCCCCAGCGGCTTTGGTTTTTTTTACAATGCCTCATGAGATGCGATAGCTGCATGCACCTAGAGCAAATGTGCACGTGTTCACTGTATTTCTAAAACCATATGCAACTCTGATAGTGCAGAAACAAGAGGCTACAACACTAGTGACTGAAATTGGTGCAGTAGATAAGCAATTAATTGGTGCATCAGAGCAACAAAACGTGCAGCAGTGTAAATCTAGTGCACACTAGATCAAGGTTCCACAGCAGCAGCTTATTTAACGCTGACAGGTTGATGTGGCCCACAAAATTAGGCTTGTGCGAATAATGAAATTTAGGTTCGAAGTGAATAGCGATTTTCATTCAATAATTTCGAATCGAATTCAAATGGTATATATGACAAATAAGGAAAAATGGGCATATTTATCAAGACCTAACTAACCTGCCCAATATCTTTTTAAAATTGAAATAATGTCTCTATGCAAATGCCTTCTCTTTTTTCGTTCAAAGGAAGTAGAAAGTACTTTGAGTAGTAGCAGGATTTGACTTTCGGTAGGAATGAAGTGACAACTTGTAAAATACACAAGATTTTAAAATTTATTATAAATAGAACACGCAAACCCTCACACAACTTGAATAAAAAAAATGACGAATTAATTTAAGGGTGATATGCCCATTTATAGGTGATATGCCCTGCAAAACTTTTTCAAGTAGCCATGGAAGAGACTCACTAAAGAAATGGTATGAAAATTTTTAGAATCCGTCCAGTACGAGCAGAGTTGCAAAGATTTGTAGCATGTTGCAATTGCATTCTCTCCTCTCGTCCCGAAAAAAGCGCTGGAAACTAAACAAGGAGGAATGACGCGGGGAAAGAAAATATGTCACGTGCGCCTTGTGACCTTGAGCATTTTTCTTTGTTCTCCGGATACAGGGCTTTTCAATGTGCGATTGCGCACGTACACGTGGACAAGTGGCGGCCTCCCACGGCGGCCCCAGTTAACGACCAAGCGTGCCATGCTCAAATCAGGCTATAGCCGATACAACAGCTGCAATAAGTGATTTTTGAGCATGTGGCGTTATTTTCTGGGAGAAGAGAGCAATCTTTAGCAGACTGAGAACTTATGGTGAATTGCAGGCCACGTGCTGCACGATGTTTGGCTCACGTGTTCTTGGTAGCGAACATCATCAATGGCCACCAATAGGCAGCGTTTTCTGACCATGCTCAAAAAGTGTTGTAGGGCCTTTTTAATTGTGTAGTAAGGCTTCACGGCAAGGCGCATTTCCCCTGGGTTGATGCTTTCACGGCTTAGCACACCTACACTGCAGTGAAACCACTTTTACAAGCACTTACATGCGGATTAATTTACACCTATTCATTCATTGCGAATACTTTGAAATTTTCAATAATATAAATTTGAATTGAAGCAAATTCGAATACTCTACTATTCATTCAAACATTCTGAGCATTCGAATATTCGCACAAGCCTACACAAAATTAACTTCAATACTACACAATTATTTGTATTTCAGCTATTTCTAGCTTATGCGGTGTGCTGCATTATTTCCCCCATATGCTCATATACTCTGGGCAACCACAAACAATGCCAAGGCAAGTTTCTGTGCCAGCTTTCACTTCAAATTCATAATATATCAGCCTTCCACAACTAGGCAAAAACATTACAAAATGTAAAAGGAAGAATGCCAATACTAAATCAATCTGAAACGAATGCATTCTCGTCTGCGACTGTCCATACATGGACAGCATCTATTTGGGCAATCATAAAAACACTACCTCATCGTGTGCTTTACTGCAAAAAGAGCACGGCAGCAGATGCAAGCAGAAACATGGTGGAAACTTGATCACCTTGGCGTAGTTTGGGTATCGTTTTGCAATATGAGAGTGCATCAGGTGCATACATTCAAGCATTGCAGATTCTGTTATCCAGAGGCATAGCAGCCCAGTAAGCGCAAGAGGCCACAGTACATACATGCAAAGCAACATTCCTGTGATGCGATGAGGGAGGACAGGCGAGGTTGAAGAGAGAAGAACGAAGGAAGTGCACATAGACGAAGTGGAACAAACATTTTCGGAAGGAGCTCCTCACTTCAGAAATCCAACCTCGACACTTAAGAATGTTTGGATTTTGAGTGCAAATCGCATTTTAAGGCCTTTTGATGAAACCTTGGTGCCAACAACAAACTCTACTGCGACATTAACCTAGGTATGGGCCCTCTCAGGCTCACCGATGACAATGCAAAAAATGAATAGCAAGGTGGAGTGGCATTTGCAAAAGCAGATGCACAGAAAGTATGGACACTTACTGTTAGCATCACAACGGACCACTATGATTGGCCCATACAGTGCAGTACACCCATCTTGTATAAATTGGTGAAAATTTTACTGATGCCGGTAGAGGAAATCTTGGAACAAAAGAAGATCAAAGTTGAGGACAAAAGACAAAAAGAAGGAGTCCTAGAAAATCCTAGAAGAAGCTGACGCAATTACAGTAGACAAGGCTGCAGACAATGGCAACTAGCAGCCGACAAATCAAAGCCAACACCATGGAATTTGAAGGAAAGAGAGGTACGAGATGGACATCGGGAAGCGAGAGACGATAAGAGGACTTAGACCGAGTGTTACGGAAAGGACTGCCAACGGCGACACGTGGCGGAGGCCCAGGGGAGTTGAGCCGACTTACTCTGGGATGAGACGGGTGCGCTCGTGCCCTTGCGACCTCGGCGCTCTCGCCGGTACTCCTCGACCAGCTGGTTAATGAGCTGTGGATCGGCACCCCACCGCTGCGCCATTTCTTCCTCATCCTCCTCGTCGTCGTCCACAGCACAACCGTCTGGAGGCACCCCTCCCATCAGGGCCACAGCACAAAAACACGCACACAAAGCAACGCACCAGCGCATGATGTCGGGCGGCTGGTCTAGGATAATTTTTTTTTCCAATACAGACAGCAGTCATCCTAACCTGTTTTAAACTGCTGTCGCAATTTGATTACATCTCACATCTTCACTTTTGGATCCAGGCGGAATGGCCATGACAGTTAATTTTTCATGCGTGGTAATCTGACAAAACTGCACCAGTGCATCATAACTTTCTACTCAGACATGCATTTCCCAAGATTTTTCTACCAATGCCAAATGACCTCAGGTAAAGCATTCCAGGTGCATTTTATAGCTGTACGTAAAGCTCGGAGCTGCCTTTTAAGCTTTCAACATGTTATTATAGGCAGTATTAGAACACCCCCAATGTCCAATATCACGATTTCATAAGCCCCACGACAAAGTAATAGATTAGACTTGTCCAGTCCAGAGGGTGCCCCTTCTTGAGTATTCACGGGGCAGTGGACTCACTAGGCTAACATTCCTCAAAGGTCGACACAGGCAAAAAAGTTTATTACTAACCCCAAAGTATGATTTTTTCTAGTCGGTCCTACACTATCTAACCTGTGAAGATATGGCCCATTCCCTCAAATTTTGCATTTGTTCCCAAGTTGCATACCTCCATATCTTACAGCCACTAGAATTTGCCGATAAAGTAACTGAGACATGTTCATTTTTCTAAAAATGTGCCAAGCAATACAGAGCATCAACGAAAAGCTTAGTTCAGGTCCATCGAAGCTACACTGGCCCATCTAATATAGCTCTGCACAAAGCTATATTAATGCCACAGGTGTAAACAGTTTGCACTTAATGCTTTCGCCATCACTTTCATCATCCGTTTCTTCATTGCCTGGCCTGCTACAATATCAGGCAGCAGTCTCTAAAAAAGTGACACAAGTGCATTTAGGTGATGCTTGCATATGGCTGATCTTTCGCTACAGGCCCTGCCTGTGCGTCGCATATGTTTTACTACACTGAAATCCTCACTGAATATGTTGGTACTGCCCAGCGACTTCATTATGTAAAACTTTTCTATATGCAAAGTTAAACTAAACCCTGCGCTAAACAGTGCAGGTACCAATGACCCCAACAAACTATGCCCCCAGTACATAGCCCAGCAATAACCAAGTGACCCGAATCCACTAATGACGTGTAGCATACATTTGGAGTGGTTGACAACAACATTACACGGAAATGTCACAATTACAATGCAACATAATATAGTTTGGTCCACTGGTAAATAATACGCCCCTATTGTGAAGCACTATCAATGCAAAACTGCCTCACACAGCCCACAATACAGAAAACACAACAAAAATCCACTCGTGTTCACTTCATGATCCTCAATAGATACTACACGACTGTGCTCAATCCACAAAGTAAATCTGTTCCCGTTACAAAACTAATGGATGTACACACACTCCTGCTCAGCCTTACCATTTGCAGTAGTGCATAGAACTTAATACACTTCAAAACACCTCAATACAACGAACCCAGATCTAATAAAATCAGTTATAACGATGTAAAGGAAGAATAGTCTTGCTATATTGTGTTAGAAATAAATCTTCATAACGAATTTTCAGATATAACGAAGTCATTTTTGAGTAAGATGCAACTTTGTTATAGATAGGTCTGAGTGTACGCATAAAAACATAAAGGACTGTGACAAAGGATACTCGTCAGCACTAGAGAAAGAGTCGAAAATTTACAAAGTTGCTACCCAATTCTTCAAACAAATACGGTGATCCCCATGATCCTAACACTTACCGACACGGCAGACAAACTGCACTCAATCACAATGACTGTACGAGCGCAGCAGCGGAAAAGATATTGAGGATCAAGTAAGGCATCAAGCCATCTCACCCCACTCGGAACCATCGCCCTGATTGCGGCCACCTTCCCGGCCTTCCGTGGAGTCGGGCCCCAGGAAGTCAAATTCCGTTAGCACGTTTTCCGTGTCCGCTTCCCCTAGCTCGTCCCCAGATCCTAGAACCTGGGCAGAGAGAGACGAGAGATGTTTCAGCTACAATCGTATCGTTTAAGGAATAAACTCTATAAATAAATCTCTTCTTAAGGATGAAACTCAACAGCGAGACCGCGATTCTTCTCGACATTCTGAACACCTCTCATCTGCACTATCACTGTCAACTAGCAAAACGCTAAGAAAAAGCAACACAGCGATACCACAGTTCGCCAACTCATCTTCTGATCAACCCCTACTTTGATGCAGGCACACTGGTGTCCCTCTCACCTAGCTGTCGGCTGTATCAGTGCATCGCTTCAAGGGTTAAACTGTATAGCTGAAGGGTTAAGAGTTCGTTCATTTCACCAGAATGCAACCAGGACGCACCTTTGATTTTATTCGCCTGTTGTCCATCCGCTCCTCCGCCTCGTCGTCCGCAGACACCGCATCTTCCATCTCGTCACTGCACGACATCGGGGGCAACAAGAGCGCCATCAAAGGCTTCCCTCAAGCGCACATGTTTGCACACATGCAGACAGGTCCATAATTCAATGGGAACCAACTAGCCTGCAAAAAAGTTTCACTGCCCAGACTTCACTGAAAGGTCGAATGCAGTAAAACGGGCTGCTTGCTTCTTCAACCTATGTTGCGAATCTGCAAGCACAGAAGCTGCAGCTGGTGCTGGCAATATATGTATCATTTTAATCGCGGGAGGCAAAATTAATGAATGCCTTGAGCTCAGAAGGAGTTGCAAGAAAAACTGCAGACCAGTATTTCAACTTGCAACCGTCGTCACTTGTCTCAGACACGTGTGAAGAAAGATACTTTAGGGCATTCGCTCCCTTCAGAAATCAAGTGACTGAATAGTTCTTTTTCATGCATATCCCCACACATGCCACGTTGATTGATGTCCCCTCTTGCCTGGACATGCACAGAAAAGTATTTGTGCTTACTTTCCTTTCCACCACTGCGTTTGTTCAGTTGTTACTCGGACTTTGTGGTGTCACAACTTCTCGTTCGTGTATGTGTTTGCATGCCCACCGTCTAATAACATGAACTAACTTGGCCTTCTGTCATCCTGACCTGGTGCACAGCTGTAGCGAAGAACACTATGCTGTGCGCACAGCCATAATTTTTAATGGTAGAGAAGCCTCGAGCCAATAATTAGTCGCCAGATTCTAAAGAACCTAAAGCCTGCCGAGCTATAAAACTTAACGATTGTGAGACTACACTCTTGCACTTTTCAGTTTTCGACTTCTGCATAAAGACAACCATGCCATGGAATCCCTAAGAGCTTCACAAATTGCTACATACAGAAACATGGCTAAGCATCAAAGTGAATTTCTCCCAGAACTTCACACCGACTATACAGCAGCTTTGCAGCCAGAGGGGGGAGAGTGTCCGTGTCCAAACCAATGAAGCAGATTTTTTGTGACCCCTTTTCGCACAGCATTGAGCTATAAAAAGGCCTGAAAGCCCAAGGTGTAACTTGTATCCAGACTACACGTTTCAGCAAGAGTACTCAAAAAGCTCTAAGGGCAGCCTTTCTGTAATGTGAGCTTCTTTCAAAGACTGCTAAGGTTTTGAAGGACTAAAGTGCCCTCTTCAACCTGCTAGCTTCAAAACAAAACACTGCCTCCAGCGATCAGCAAAACTTCTTTATTGCGTGTGGAATGAAATAAAAAAAAGATACATAAAATAGGGCAATGCCAGACAACTACCACAGATTACGACAAGGACGGTGTTGTGGACCAGCTAACAAACCTCGTCGCCAGAGTCTCGTGCATATTTCATTCCTACCATGGTGCTGCTAGGGAAACGTCCTGAATGCGCAACATGCAAGTGCATCGTGTCTTTGCAATGCGTGTCTGCTATGGCTGCCAACAAATCGACGCACGACAGCGCCAATTCGAGGCTATGCGACACTTGTTTTCAAGGGTCCACCTATTAAAATATTAAAATAATCAAAATAGAAGAAAAGTAAAAAAAAACTGCAGTTGACTACACTTGAAGGTCCATACACACACAACAAAAAATGCAGCGTGTCCTTTGGTCTTCAAAGACTTCCACCTCTGGAGATTTCGCCTCTGTCGTATGGTGCAGCCGCCAGCTCACCTAAAATTGTCTTCGTCGTCCTCCATGTCCACGTTTTCTGTGGCCAGAAAGTCGAACGTCGCCAAGACCGAGGCTTCCGTGTCGAGTAGCGCGTTCTCAGCCACATTGACTATCTTCTTGCCTGGTACCCTGGTAAAAAAAAAGAGAGGAACGGAGTGCAATTATACAAGTGTTTAGACAGAGCACAACCCTTATTTGATCATATGCGGTCACAGAGAAAGCATTTACTGCGAGGCTCAGACCAGCTGGCAATAGTGCCGCACTAAAAAACGAGTCAATGCGTTGTACACTTGTGTACTGTGTCAGTAATTTAATGACAGCCAAGAGATGCACATGAATTCATGAACTAAATGCTTGAATCGCACGTCCTACGTGTTATTCGTACACCACATCCGTGGCAAAACAGTACAAAGAAACGCGCCATCGTGTTGTTTCATGCAGTGACTGCATTGCAAGACTGTGCAAATGTGATGTCATAATGGTAATACAGTGGAAACCGGAAAGGACCAGCAACATGTGCTTCGTTCAACAAGAGTTTCCTTTACTGAGAGATAAAAAGGGTGCAGGGTTGAAATACAAAACCAATCATATGGGAGGCAACTCATGCAGACAAAATGTTGTTGAATCCCGGTACATTAGACAGTTAAAATACCACAGCGTTAATGGCAGAAATAGGCGAAACCGTGTACAGTTGAACCCCTTATTAGAGACATCATACCTGCCAAACTGGCAACAGAGAAATTCGTAAAACCCTCGAGCAGAGAAGGGAGGGTACTCTTTTATGGGGAGCGCGGCACTCTGCGACCAAAAATCGGCAAAAAAAAAAAAAAAAAGAAGTTTTCGTGGACCTTCTTGCGTTCCCAACATCATTGCACACCTATTTACAAAATTTCGCAGCCGAATACCATTAACTTTTATCGTTATTCAACTTTTGGACAGGAACACCAAAACGCTTCTAGCACTCTTTATAAAAGTCTTTACCGCCTTTAATTTACCGCTGCGTCAGCCACGTGCCCTCGGAGCTCATAGACCGCTATCGCATGGCCTCGACCAGAATTTTATAGGCAGCGGTTGCGACAAACTGTAGTTTTGTTTTCAATCCACATGCCTTCAAAACGAAGACGTTTTTTGCTATCTATGATCCCAACTACCGCGGTTCTGTCCACAGAGCTTACGGAAAGCAGCGCTGCTGACTGGTCGAGCGTTGGCCACGCGCACACTTTCCAAATTCTATCAGTAACGTCAGTCGCCATACATGATCATGTAGAACGACCACTGTTTCGTCCCCAGCGGTTGTGGCGACGACAACCACACGCACTGTAGAAGACTGTGCGTGGGCTGGTCGCCCGCGTACTTCCAAAGCTTCGAGCACGCTGCTCTTAACCAGTCTTCGTTCGACGGTTTCACACTAAAGTTCATATCACATGCCCCACATTAAAAAAAAGTGTTCAGAACATTCAAATTTCGGCCCATGGGACACATGAATTTAGCTGGGGAATTCCACGAATTCGTATCTGCCGCGGTTTTGCATCGAGATTTTGCGATTAACACCTCTTAAATTCATTCATAATAAAATGCGATAGGCTCGCAAAAAGCCTGGAACGGACTGACCTGCATTTTTGTCAATGCGATCAGCTCTCGCACATAAATTTCCATTTCCGGGAGATTTTCATGGCAACCGTACTATTGGAAGAAACAGTCGAAATCCGGGAGTCTCCTGGACAATGCAGGAGACTTGGCCGGTATGCGATGATGACAACACCAATACATATTGTTTTCTCTTGGTGGCGGACTATCGCACAACGCTGTTTTTGTGGCCTCCGCAACTAGGTACGGCAATGCGCCATAGGAGGCCACACTCTTTTACTAATTTATTTTTTTTATCGGAAATGAAATATTTTATGAAAAAATTTCAGCAAGATTCGTAAAATCGTAGGTGCGGTCAAAATTCATGCATAGAAAATCAGAAGACTTGGCAGGTACGATAGACGTGCATCTGCCAGCAATTCTTCTCATTGCCAGCAATTCTTCTCATTTGTAGGAGGTGTGTCTAAGAAGCAAAGTACAACATATACATTTTCCTATAAACCACTACTTTAAACTAGGGATTCCGGTATCTCTTACTCCCATTTGTCTCTTACATCAGTGTCTTTCAAAGGGGTTTGACTGTACAAAATGTCCCTCAAACAAATATGCAACAGCAACACTAAAAGCCACGACAGAGGCAGTTGGGCTGCACCTCCTCTGCGTATCCGAGGCCCGCTGCTTGATGGGTTCCCCGGGGGCCGTTCCACCGGCGCTTCCACCGTTGACGGTCGGGTGGGCGGCCTTGTCCTCGGGCGCATTCCCGGAGCCGGCGTTGGTCGCAGGTCCCAGCCCCAGAAGTGTCCGAACCCGCGCCGACCGCACGTCCAGGATGGTGTCCGTGTAGCCTATCTCTTGCAGGTACCTGCCGAGGAACATGCACAAGTTCAGTCTACGGTGGCAACTGTACCACAAGCAAATGAACTAGTAGCCCCCTCCACCCCTGTACACCCCCGCATTCCAGTAGTTCATGATTTTACTATATACTCTGGGACAGCTCGTCCTGGCAGAGGATCAACGGCCACAGAGGCGGGCCTTCCACACAAGCTGATCACTCCACAAGAAGCACAGCAACTGATTTCAGCTCTGGTTGCAGTTTTGCTTCCTCAAAGTGGTGACCCATTTAAGAAAATATATACATAAGAAATGTAAATGGGACAAAAATTTCAATCGCACAGTGCACAGCAAACGCTCATTGATTCGACCCACATTAATTTTGAAGATCAGACTTGGGAGATATGATCCTTGGTCATGGCCACCATGTGCATGGCATCAAACTCTTGTAATTTGGCCACATTCGACCGCAACCAAATTCATTCATATCATTCTCAAAGCCTGCCCATACAAAGCACTGTAAATGTGAGAAGCAAAAGAGCGAAAATAGCGACCGCAACCAACAGACCTGAGGCGGACAGTATGCATCGCCAATTTGAACAATTGGTGACCATGGCTTCGTCCACAAGCGAATCTTGCACTCGGCAGTTTCGTTTATCAATATGTGCGCAATGTCACAAAACTCAAACATGGCAGACACTGTTGAAGATGAAAAGCTTTCAGCTGTGATGGTGCACTGGCACAACACTCATTTGCTACAGTGATGAACAAACAATCAGTTGCAGGCCCTTTTACCTGCGAAACAACTACTCGCGTGCGCGTGGTGGTCGTGGCAAGTACATAATAAGGATGAGGCACAGAGGACGTCTCACAATATTTATGGCGAATTCCACTCGTCGAGCGGGAGCAAGTTTTCTTGCTCCGTGGCTGAGAATCTGCATTCTGCTGGTAGATTCAGAGCAAGTTCGCATGTTCCACCGGCAGATTAGAGCAACTCCGTGACAGAGCGTTCTGCGTGCTCTGTCTTGCAGAGACGAATTTCGCCGCAACTCCGAGAATGCATTGCCGTCATTTTTGCAGAATCGGACCTAGCTGTTGCCTGCGACTGCCTTGAGCATTGTTTTTTTTCCACCAAGGCAGTACCCACTGCACGAGTTTACACTACTAAAATGACATTGTTTGATGCTGTTGGTTTGCTTCTCGCTTTGAGCAACAGTGAGAGCACCAGTAGCAGCAGCGAGGACGAGCCGCACGTGCTTTCCCGCCGTGTGCACTGCGGAAGTCTCGACTGAAGATAATCGGCCATGTCGAAGTTTTCAGGACTGGTTCGGTGACGTATGTGTAAACAACTTCCGGCGCGACCTAGGGGTGGGGCATTCACGTGTTCCACTCGCACATCTGGCTTGGCGCAATCCGAGTGCTTGCTCCAGGATTTCAGCGGCCACTTCAAATCTACCAGTGGAATTTGCCATTAGACAAGGAAGTCTGGTGGCATGGTCGCAATGAGAACCAAATCGCAGGATGACGAAAATTGCGGCTTTTACACTGTTATGCAAAATAAGAACTGTACTCGCATGTTCATCAAGAAATCCAAGTTAACTAGCCTTTACTGTATATTTCAGAGCCACAATTTGTGCAGTACATCTTCCTTGTACAACTAAAGACCGAGCCTGCAGCCACACACGGACCAACACATGTCGGTGACGCCATGATTGCTTTGGAAAGCAGGCAAGCAGAAAACGTGGTCCTAAGAAGTGGGAACTAAAATCCTTCCAAAGTGAGCAATAATATTTGCAACTTTTCGAAACTGTTTTGATCTCATAAAAAAATTTCTGCAAAAAATCAGATAATTACAAATAAGGCTAGGTCCCAATTCTTATTCCACCAGCACATGTGCATTTTAGTTCTGTAGCTTCCACAGCACTGCCAAAAAAAACTGTGCTAAAGTAAATGAAAACTGCAATGGCTTCAAGCAATTAACAGTGGTCAAACAAATGTAGCCAGAACCAGCACATTCACGCTTTCTAAACCAAATTTAGATGGATAGCGTGCTGTTCCTACATAGAACTCTCGCCACTTTTCAGTCACGAGTGAACCAGCCGCAATGAAATAGCGCTCTCTTTGGTTCAGAGCATCAGTTGGGGCCACGTGTCGATTTTCTAACAAGCGCACATTCTTGCACAGCCATATGACTGGCAAAAAAAACTAGCGTTTTGCATGCGAGCACAAAGGGGCGCCCTCAGATCTCATAATCTTCGCGCACAGCGGCACGTTCCTTTTCCCAGCCAGGACCGAGGGTTGAGACCAAGAAACCTTGCGACAGCTGTTAACGGCCAATCTTGTTCTCACCCAAGCCCATTTTTGTACTAGTACTACCAAATTTTAGAGAATGTGGGGAAGGAAAAAAAAGAGAAAAGAGGAGAAAAAAAAAGTAAAGCAAGGAAATTGTAGGGAAACCGAATAGCAAGGCTACTGGCTCCAAACCCTCAGGTCAAGGATCGAAGGACCCCGCTAGCGAAGGCAGATTGTAATCACTGGGCAACCCGCTTTATGCATTCCAATTAGCTTGGTCACAAACAAAAAACGCACACACACTTGTTGAACCACTGTTTAATGCCAGTACCATAGAGTACGTTTCAATTTCTTGAGGCCCAATCAACTAGTTTTCACATAAATAGCTCAAGAATTTTACTTTATTTTAGTGTCTTAAAGAAATATATATACCTTGCATACAATATACGTACAAAAGAACAGCAGTGTTCATGAACTGAAACTGACTGAAAGATTGTGAGTTGGTAAATGCTGCTGATTAGACTGAACATGGATTGTTGAGAACCTAGAGTTGATTTGATTGATATGTGGGGTTTAACGTCCCAAAACCACTATATGATTATGAGAGACGCCGAGAACCTAGAGTGTGTTTGCTTGTGTGTCCAATGAAAAGCTGATCTTTGGTGTTCATATTCGCTGCAACTACTTTGAAGAACCCCTCACAATCTCTATTTAAACAAAAGAATGGAAGAGTTCAGTCTCCAGCAACACCACAAAGTAACAGTGATGCCAATGGCCAGCTTCCCAAAACGCAAAAGCAACCTAATGAGAGACTTTCAAAGAAGCTCTTGAACTTTCTTCAACCATCTGCACGTTAACCTCGACAACTGGTTTTGAATGTAAAAGCTGCTACAATAAGTGTGCATCACCGTACAGGTCTTTTTCAAATTTCTATCACTTTTTTCTTTTCTCACCAGAAAGGTGGCGTTACAGCAGTGTATGAACTGCTCAGGTCTAAACTGCTTCCCGGTCATGCCTTCGCAAAAGCACAGCCTTTGAAATGTTTCTCTGTTAGCCAAAGAAACTTGTGATCCCCATGGAAGCAATGTTTCTTCCCACCAAAAGCAAATACAGAATGACGTTCGAAATGATGCAAGCAATGCTCTAAATGTGATTTAAACATCCTTGAAAGCGAGCTCACCAACAAGAATACATCTCAACTTGTCTACTCACTGTGCTCACATCTGCTCTACGAAGCCAAGGTTGTGTGCATGTAGTAAAGCTATCGTGTCTGGGAAATTTTTCTAAACATTTACCAAAATGTGCAGAGGCTCAAAGCGTGTTATTACCCCACTCCTTATTCTTTGCAACAGTCTTAATGATGTACGTATTTTTTTTTTATTTATCAAAACTGCATGGTATTGAAAATGAATCCCTTAGACAATACCCCCCTATACATATCTGTGCCCTCACAAAAAAAAAAAAGCCTTGTTGGCAGTAAGTGTCCAATGTTATGTGCTGTGCCCATGTCCGTGTGTTAGTGCTGTTTGTCTTTTTATGTGGCTCCAAATGTACCACACCACAAAAACCACACCGATCACAAGTGACACTCACTGTCTTAAAAGTTGGCGTCCTTGCCTCCACGACACGTTGCTGTTGCTCGTGATGAACAACTCGCCGTCCATGGGCTCCTCTGCAAACGGAAATGATCAGTCGAGTCTATTGCCTGTGTCCTTATGCAAAAAATTATGGTGGATGCCAAGAACAAAAGCAACTCAAGACCGCGAGCATTCACTCTAAGCAAATGAGCTGAAAAAAAAGGGGGCTGGGCCAGGGAGACGGGTAATAAATTTGAACTCTGATAAGAATTTAAGCCAGACCTCCCATGTGCGAAACGAGCACACTTCCGAAATGTCACGGTGGGTACCTGGTTCAAGCTCAATAAAAAAAGTTCCTAGTGAGCAAGACTTTTCTCCAGCGCTTTCTCCCCAGCGGCATCCACGAGCAGTGGAAACAGTTTTGTGCAAGTTAGGTTAAGATGCTCCTACCAACCCGTATTTTTTCAAGAAGATGCTGTCGTGGTTAGTGCTACATCCAAATACCACCCAGACCTGGTTTTACAACTCGGTACAGGTGTCGAGTTTTACTACCTCTCCAACTTGAATTAAGAAAATATGTGGGGCTAATATAAGGGGGAGACATCGTGGTCAGTGCAAGTGCACCTAAGCGACCAGCTTCCTGGTGGCGCTATCTACCCTCCCGTTACATCACTGCAATGTAAATAAGAGGTCAGTCTTTACTCTAGTCACGAGCTGGCTGGTCGTATTTTGTCTCATTCCTGGCTGTACCTTGATACGCCTGCACATTGACATATGCTCCATCCCAACAGATTCGAACACGTCCGGTTAATATTTTCATGTTCCACATTTAAAGGCAAAGGTCGAGTGTTCATTTTTTAAAGACAATCACGCCCAATGTACTAGTGATGACCTTAGGCAGCAGTCCTTTAGCGCACCAGAGCTAATGGACTGTCTGTCTGCTCGAAATTAGCAAAAGGCAAGGCAAAGATATTCTATGCGGTGAGTCTCGAGATAAGAATTTAAAATGAGCTCAACCTAGGAGATTGCGCAGCGTGCAAGTGCCCATTACCTTTGTTGACATCGTCGAAGACAGGCGCCTTCAACTCTGCGGGGTTTGGATCCGTGTCGTACTTCAGCTTGTGAGACTTGATCCTGCAGATCAAGACCATCGCCAGTTGTGCATTAGAGTACACTTGCATATGCACGCAACTGTGTAGAGTGCAGTGCTGGTACAAATGCAGTCTACGGGAAGCAACGAAGTCCTAATAATAATTGTCGAAGATTTAACGTCCCAACACCAGGATACAATAAGGGACACTAAAGTGAAGGTCGCCCAAAAATTTCTATCACTTGAAGTTCTTTGAGGTGCTCCCTAATCCAAGTACATCAGCTTCAAGCACTTTTGCCCCGTAAAAATGTGGCCGACACAGCCGGGATTTAGTCCCGCAACCTTTGGGTCAGCAGTCGAGCACCATAACCATCACTGTGGCAGGTTACAGAAATCCCATGACACAGTGCAAAGCACAGCAAATGAGCCATTGTGAATTTGTGCTGTCAGTGAACAATTTTAAGAGAGAGAGAGACAAATGCTATCTGTCTTTGCTAAGTGCACCTTGGGAGATTACCTGCCTTTTGCCCATATTGTAAACATTTAATTTAATTTGTGTGGGCTATGGTAAAAAGAATTGAAAAACATCCAACGTGGCTGCTGAAAAATGAACAGCTAAAATCCTGACACTGCATCTGCATGCAGGCGCAAAGGGTGCGCCCTCAGATCTCATAATCTTCGCACACTGTGGCACGCTCCTTTTCCCGCTAAGACCGGAAGCCGAGAGCAAGCAGCCTGGTGGTGTAGCAGTTAATGGCCAATCTCGTTCCAACCCAAGCCCATTTTTGTATTTGTATGACCCAATTTTGGAGGACAACTGCAGGGAAGAACAAAAAATGAAGAAAGAAAGGAAAAGTAGAAAAGGACAATCGTAGGGAAGCCAAACAGTAAGGCTGCTCGACTCCTAACTTCCGGGTCTAAGCTCGAAGGACCCCGTTAGCGAAGGCAGATTGTAATCACTGGGCAACCACTTTGCAGTCAGCACGAGATGAGTTAAAAAAGAACTGAGAATGTGCCACGAGATTGATAGAAATAGAAGATCAAAATTTATAATGATCGCACTAAGCACGCTGTTTGCAATTTATGTAAAATACTTTTATAGTGACACAGAATGATGCCAAAAATTTTCGTGCAAAAACGGAGAAGCTTTACAACAACAATAGATACGGTATATACGGTAAAGTTACGCAAGTACACTGTTATTAAGAGTGATACATTATACTACTTGCAAATGAAGTATTTACTTATGAGGTCATTCACAATCTATGCATATTCAAAACTGTAAAAGGTAATGCTAAAAAAAAAGAGAGGTGCAATAGTAACTAGGAAGGGGCACACCCATGGTGGACCTTTTCGTTTCTCATCACACGGTGGCTCACACAAATGCTGTTGTAAGCACGGAAGTTCACAAGTGAGCACTTGATATTCTGAGGAATACTTGTTGGAGACAAGTGCATTCAGGGGCTGTGGTAACATGATCTTAAATAAAACCATTTTGCTTTCGAAAATAAAACCTGGCATGCGCGTTAGTTACAACTATAATGACACCCATTTCTTCAACAACAACTGCTTATTAAACAACTATTTTTTAAAGGAGCACTTACACACAAAAAATTTTTCACACTTAGATCGGCTATGATCCACTTACTATAGCTGAAAACCTCATTTGCATGAGTGCGCGACGGTTATTTATTTAGAGACGTTTTTGGAGTGCCCACTAGCAGTGTTGCTTTCATAGAGCATTGCGCAAGGCTGGAGCACCTCCGGTGTCAAGGTAAACACAGCTGGCCACGTGACCACGCAAAACTATGACGTAGGCATCACGCCCGAGAGCAGGTGCCACGGCGAGAGAGAGCACAGCCAGCACACACAAAGCCGCAGGTAAGGAAGATGAAACCGCAGGTAGCGCAAGCAATCAGCGAACACAAACTTCTGACGTAGCTTTGTTTACATTTCCGTTACATTGGTGCTGGCGTCACGAGGGGCTCGGCATATCGCTCAGTTATGCATGTAGTGTGCACTTTTGTATAAAATTGATTTTAGGTATGTTGTAGGCTGTATTTTCCCTTGATATTTTGTAGATGTTGTGTATGTCGCCCTATAAGTCTATCTCACTCATTATCTTGCCTTCAAAACTTTGCATCATTGCTCCTTTAATCAAGTAATTTAAATGTCACGACATTAGCAGTTGTCTAAATAATTAGGAATAACATACTTCATAAAATTAGTGCACCCGTTAGGACTTTCCATTGTTCATAGTCTTAAGCGCGTCAACCCAGGTATGATAAGGCAGGTTGTAGCGGAGGGCTCCGGACATTTCGACCATCCAGTGTTCCTAAACGTGCAGCAACAACTTGCAGTACACGGGCCTCTATCACTTCACCACTGTCGAAGTGCAACTGTAGCAGCTCAGTTAAAGCCCACAACATTTTGGGTCAGCAGATGAGCACTGTAACCACTGTGCCACCATTAAAGGCTATGAGAAAATTAACACCATTCTTCAGAGACTGCCTGTGCCACACATTTGACCACAAGGTGTAAAACACTGCATTCTCTTTGCATGGAACCACAAAAGCGTACGCCCTCAGATCTCATAATCTTCGCGCACTGCGGCACATTCCTTTTCCCGCCAAAACCGGGAGTGGAGAACTAGTAGCCTGGCGGTGATAGTTAATCACTAATCTCAATTGACTCGACCCCAGCCCATTTTTTGAACTAGTAAAGCCTAATTTCAAAAAAAAAAAAAACTGAGAGGAGAAAAATAAATGTAAGGCAGTGAGTAAAGAAAAATAAAAGCAAGGGAATTGTAGCAAAGCCGAATAGCAAGGCTACTAGACTTCAAACTCCCAAGTCAAGGCTCGAAGGATCCCGCTGACGAAGGCAGATTGTAATCACTGGGCAGCCCACTTTGTGGTTGGTTCAAATGTGGACACACTAACAGGGCATGCACACGGTTTTTTCAGCTTTAACTGGATTATGGCTGCAAGGTGCTAGAGGCACGTGTAGCGCAATCGTTGGCAGAAGTCCAAGACGAGCTATGCTAAAGGGCACTAACAGCCAACCAAGCATGGAGAACAACAATATGCGAGCTTTCGCTTAAAGTGCAAGTTCTCAGATTCATTCCATTTATACTTGCTTGCAGAAGTTTAGTTTTTCTACCTAAAAACTGATGATTGTAACTAAACATGAAGTAGGCTAAAACCTCCTTTAAAAAGCACAAGGTAGCTATACTAAAAACTAGGAAGGGCTCATTGTCTGGAGTCCCCTGGAAATCGTCACCTGCCCGCTTACCATTGCATTTCGCATGAGGCGTTCAATAAAGCCACATGCTCAAAATATGCCAAGCTCTTATGAAAGAAGAAACCATCTCAGAAAAATGCATCTTTTCTACTTAGTTGAGCTTTCACTTATTCCTTTAAAATGCATTTTACTCAAGATTTACTTTTGGGCAACTTCTTGAGCTTAGACATGATGTTCTTGGTACTTCCGATAGCCCGATCAGGATAAAAATTTGACCAGATATTATCCTTAACATGTGAAGAGTTCAAGTATCTATTTTAAAACTTGATATCTTTCGTACACTTGTTACAACCTCGAAGTAAGCAATTAGTATGGGCTGAGGATTCTAAGAATTCTGACATTACAAATTTTATTGTCCATAAAAATGTCTTATAAAAACTTTTTTGACAGTCACTTAAAGTCTACAGTTAATGTGGGGAAAAATGAGCTATTAATGGCTCAGAACCATGAAATTTTAGTGGCATAAAAAGTTTATCCTAAACAAACAATACTTTACATTGTTATGGCATAAAATGAAAACTTTGCAACTTACTATAAAACCAATTATATACTCGAAATCAACATCAAAGCGCATACACAAAGAGAAAATTTGATTTTCAGATCACATCTCCCCTTAGGAGCCCACAAAAAAGGTTTAAATGAGTGCCACTAAAACATTTTTTTACTACATATTTGAATAAGCTGTCAGAAATTTTTTCGATAATATTATAAAAAATTAGGCTGCACTTTCTGAAATTTCACTCGGAAATTTGAACAAAGCACTATGCAAACAAAATGCCCCAGAAGGGAATATGATAAACCCCAAAGAAGAACAACCTTGCAACAGCCAGAAGCATACTAGAAAGCCTGCAGAAGACTTTTGCAAAGAAATATACAAGAGTTATCGTAGGGGCTACATTTTTTTTTTATGACCACCAGAAAAAAATGTTCAAATTATACTGTTCTGAATGAGGTGCTTAAGGGTACTCGTGAGGCACACACAGGGTGTACTGTTCTGAATGAGGTGCTTAAGGGTACTCGTGAGGCACACACAGGGTGTTCATAAGGTACTCACTGATAGGAACTAAACACATTGCAGACGGATTGGGAACATTATTGATTGATATGTGGGGTTTAACGTCCCAAAACCACTACATGATTATGAGAGACGCCGTAGTGGAGGGCTCCGGAAATTTTGACCACCTGGGGTTCTTTAACGTGCACCCAAATCTGAGCACACGGGCCTACAACATTTCCGCCTCCATCGGAAATGCAGCCGCCGCAGCCGGGATTCGAACCCGCGACGTGCGGGTCAGCAGCCGAGTACCTTAGATGGATTGGGAAGATGTTTACGAGTTAAGGTGTAGTACGAGATACCGCGCATTTCGACGAAATGAAGCAAGAAGAAGAATGGCGATTTGGGCTAGTTGGTTTGAATTCATGATAATAAGGGTTGCAGCGCGAGCACGAATGTGCTAGAAGAAACAGACGAAAATCGAGGTACGGAAGGCAAAGGGGACAACACGAGCGCTGACTACCAACTGAATTTTATTATTCGCAGCACACATGATAATATATACAACAGGCAACCTTTGAACAGCACACGTGAGCAACGTGACATATTCTGGGGAATGTTCTGATAAAAAGGTACAAAAATGGCTAACGCTTATCTAAAAGCGCAAACTCTTTGTCATGCAAGGCCACCGAAGGTTGGCTCACGCATCCGTCACCATGTTTTCTAATAAAATACGCTTCAGCTATTTCAGGAGTTAACTTGTCCATGTGGCGTGCCAGCACACTCACGCCCGGAAATCGAGGCTGGCACCCGCAGCTTTTGCAGTGCAAAACAAGGTTTGAACTGATTCCTTTGCATATATCATTCATATGTTCTCCTAACCTTTTATTAATGCACCGCCCAGTTTGGCCTATATAACAACGACCGCACGTTAAAGGAATCATGTAAACAACACCAACTGCACAATATACAAATTTATTTATGTTTTACGGCGCATGTCCAACTTTTTTTTGGTGATTCCACTAAGTCGCTCATCCGTCATTCTGCAAATCTGGCTTACTTTGCACGGAGCTGATAAAACTACATCCACACCATATCTCGAGCCCACCTTCTTCAAACCATGAGATATATTGTGGAAGTATGGGATGACTGCAACTCTTTTTCGCTCCTTATTTCCTCCTGCATTTTCTTGTTTTTGTTTGATTTTTTGCAACAAGGCTTCGCACACTGAAGAAATTACAGATTTTGGAAATCCTGCTGACAGAAGTCTGGTAATTTGCATTTGAGATGTCTGATAGTGTAACAATGCAAATTACCAAAAGTCACCTGCACTGTGGCAGATAGGCAAAGGCTCTAAAGCTTGAAATAAGCACAGTAGAGCATCTCTTTTCATTTAAGTAGAACTGCTTCACTGGTGAAAACACCCTTGGGTCACTCAGTTAATTCACAGTTTACTGTTGATGGTGAATAAGGTGAAACTGTTTCTTCAGCACCATAGCACTAGAGGATGAAATGCATCGCGTCAAAACCGATTCATTTGCTTCTACAAACGCATCTGTATGGCATCTCCAAACTTATGGCATCAGCAAGCAAACAAAGAAAATATGTACAGCAAGCTTTGGGGCAACCCTTTCATGTTCTCTCTATCTCACCATTGCTGGCAACACAAACAAGAAAGTGCAATGGCAGCGGTTGCCATTCACCGAATTTGACTTTTGCCGCAACATAAATACACAATTGCTACTTCTATGCCATGCATTTCAACCTGTTACGCCATTTGAAAACGTGTGCAATATGTATTGCGAACAAGGTTTGCAAAGCTCCCCATCCCGACACCTGACATGCCCCTCCATGCGGTCTGATGGCTCAAATAGAAACAAAAACTAAACCCTAATCAGGTATGTCCACGTTAAGTACGAAGACTGCCTACACGTCAGCATGTAAATAGGCTTCAAAAAAAAAAAAAAATTGGGGGACCCTTAAGCTTCACCTTTAAGGGTTCAATGCAATAGCAATACCCAGTCCTTAGCGTGCACTGCAACCATTTTACCTTTTTTTGTTGTGCGACGTTACTCGAGGGGTTCAAATTGCAGATTACTACAGCATAATCAATAAAGTCGAAAGTGGCTTGTGTCAGTGAAGCTTTCGCATATGGCTGCACTTGATATAATAGGTAGCATGCTTTAAGGAGAAGCGTGGCCATGGGAATTGTAAATTTGGATAATATGTTCAGTTTTTCAATTTTCTTTTTCTGTTATCCTGAGACGATGTTTTACGTCATAGTGTAACTTTAGATCAAAATAAGTAGTAAAGTTGAGAAAAGCATTTTACTGGTGGGCTGTTGTCAAAGGCTATGTGAAAAATGGGCATAACAAAATGCAAATTTGCAGCTTTCCCTTGGCACCGTGCCACCATTTTGGCATCATCGTAAGGAGGACAGATTGGAGCTCAAGATAGCCACAAAGATGCATTTCTCCAATGAAAAATAAAGCCAGCTTCCTTGCGAGTTGCATTTTATCAGCTTCAAGCTCGAGTTTCTCTGAGCTCCATTTTCTCAGGTTTCATTTTTTGAGCAGTTGTCGGTCATCCCTGTGCCATTTCACAACAAAATAAGCTATAGCCATTTCGTTTCCTGAACTTAGATTCTGACACATTGGTGAGTGCCGTAAGGCTGTCCATATTTGTGTGCAAATCATACAGACTTTTGTAATTGGCTTTCGTAGAAGTTGTAGGTAAGACAATATGTCCAGGACATTTCAGAAAAAAAAGTTGTGTGCTTACTTAAATATTAAAAATAAAGCAATAGCATTACGACACAAAATAGACCCTTGTAAATATCCTCGTGCGAAGATTTCGAAGGAACTTGTGTCTAATCAACCAATTTTCGGGAAGATATCTATCAAGTATTGTAAATCAAAAGTTGTACTAGATAGCTCAAAACAGATTTCAGTTATAATATTAGTACAACAAATGACATCTGCATGCCGAATTTGATCCCTTTAGCTTCATAAATAGCAAAGATAATTTTCATCGCCTTGTCCGTCCCTTACACCACGAGCAATTATGCTAGGGAAATGTTTTCGAACTTGCTAAGCACCACCACACGGTCTTAGGGGAATATGCGCAGAAACGCCTGTGCTTTTTGTAATGGGCGAACGGCTTTAAACCACCGAGTCTTTGCTATAATTAAATTTTCCGACACCCGATGGCAATGCACGTTTGTACCCCACAATATTACTGCGATATTACATGTTGTATAGAAGAAGTCTTATAGAAGAAACACGTTTGTAAAGCATAAAAATTATTTTCACAGATTTCCAACCAGAGGCAGTCATTTTCACTGTACTTCCAAGCAGGTGCATAGCTGTGTGGTGGAACACCTGCTTGTCATGCAAACTGCTTGGGTTCTATGCCGACTCGGGCCCGGAAATCTTCGCAATTTATTTGCATCTTTCAATTTTATTGGCCATGGACAAGATGATTTTTCGCTTACGACAAGCCCATGCCCACGCCGCAAGTTCTTGCAAAATTAGCTTTTTATCACGTTAATAATGGCGCATAGCAACGCTTTCAAGCTACCAAGTCCACACAACTTTAACACAGCCGTCTAGGCGGGAAAGCCTGTGGTAATATGTAGAGAAATAAAGCCTTTCGGTAGCGTATGTAGGCCACAGCTTGCAGTGAAAGAACAAAGCAAAGCACAGGTGGTCAAAGGAATCGCACGAGTACACTCTCGTCCTGCGTACCTTTCCTGCTTGAGGGCAAACTCAAGCATCTTTATTCGCCTGATGAGGTCGTTCTTTAGGTTCTCCTGCCCTTTGCGCTCACCCTGAAGAAATGCTATCCTTGCCTGCAACAGACAAGAGGAAAGGCAACATTCAGAACCATCACAGAATGACCCGAGTCCATTGACTAGTAAAGCTATTGTAATGTCTAATGCACACTGCAAAAAAATTAATAAATAAGCGTATTTCAAAAGACAGCGTAAGCTTTGCTTGGTGTATGATAGCCTTGGCATGGCGTCACTTTTAAACCAATTAACTGTCCGCGTTTTTATGTCAAGCTCCAGTTAGTTAACATGGGTCAAACTGTGGTAATACATATTCACTGCTTCAGATACAAGTTTTCTAGCAAAAATGAAACCAAGACAGGTACACTATGTTCATGAACTGCATAAAAAAATTAATAAATAACCATGATTACAGAAGCAAGAATATTGTGTGGAATGTGCCAATATATACTCTGGTGGCCCATGCACTTGCTATAAAACTACAAGGACAATCGACATGCTTACCATGTACATACTTTTGACATATGATAAGGCACAAACCAAGAGTTTGAACAAACTAACTCCACTCTATTTTTCTTTTAATCTAAAACACACTACTTGTTTGCTTTTTGATTCATGATACAACTTTAACCCACCAAATGCTTCAAACTTTAATTTGCATATACTCAAATGGAGAAACACGGTATAGTGTCATTCTCTTGTGTTCTTCAACAAGAACAACTTAAATAGAATACAAACTTGAAAAAAACAAAACAAAAACCCATTCTTTAAGTCAGCAATGCATAGCAGTGCACCAGAGCACCCAAGAAGGGGAAGAGTTCCCAGCTCGTAAACCAAGTGGCACTCCCACTATCTTGAAAGTATGGGGAGGGAGGAGGTCTGTAGCTAGAACCGTTCAAACAGCTTGTCCCTTTCTCTCGCGCAGATGAGTAGTCACGGTCATGCTGGCTTCGGAGAAGGAGACAAAGCGAGTCTGCAGTAGCCTTGAACCGAGCCGCACAGCACATGGCACCGTGCCGTTCAACCCCCTTCCAAAAGGTTCGGCATGACGACGCAGCGTTGAAAGAACAAGAAAGCTAAAACGAGAGGCACACTCAACTCGGCCTTTGGGCGCAGTGCCAAGAAAGCACAAGCAAAACCAAGTTAATAAGCAGGAGTAAGAGAAAAGATACAAGACAAAGTAGAGCACCAAAAGAAAAAGAGAGAAAAGTCTAAGGAGGAGTACGAGCAAGGAACCCGTCTTCCTGGAGGTGCACGAGGAAAAGAGCCACGCGAGAGCAAGCCCACCTCAAGGCACCAACCTTGGCCCGGCCCTTCTTTCACCGCTTTGCGACACACAGCAGAGAGACAAAGTGTCATGCTCTGCCACAGTCCGCTGACGTTCAGACGTTTGTGCAACGAAAGGGGGCAAAAAAATTTGTCCCTGTGACGTCTGCGCAGTTTGCGACATTTGAAGACTGGAGGAAATGAGGGAAGCGTCAATGCCGCTCCTGCTGTTAAGTGGCATCTATCCAAAGACTGCTTTGATGCTGTGCAGAGTTAGGTTTGGCACAACACGAAAACAAGTGGCAGGCCAGCTAATGATACACACAAAAAATAAAAAATCTCACACATGTAGAAAGACAAAGGGGTTATCTACATTCATTATGACACTGCTTTTATGCGTGTGTGCATGGCAAGAGATTGCCATAACGTTAACAGAATCAAAAAAGAAGAAAGCCATCTACATAAGGCAGGACAAAGATTGGTTTTTCAAGCATTGAGAAGTTTACATAACTTCAGCTTCAGACTAACATTAGCTCCAGCCACGATCTCATCAGATAGACACGTTACATCCGGCAGTTTTAACCTCTCTTCAACTAATAACGTCAACGACTTCTCATGACCAGACTACGAGACTACTACGAGATACGAGAAATCAATATAAGGAAACAGCCCACAACTAATGCTAAATGTTTGATGACTGAAGCAATCCATAAGGAAAGAGCCCACAACTAATGCTAAATGTTTGATGACTAAAGCAATCTGCCCCTATTGGTTTACCAGTGCTGATTAAAGGAGCCTTAAGTATATCTTAGCTTAACTACAATGAAGGAAGCAAATTAATAGGCACTGCCTCTCTATAATACTTGCAGATAGTGTGCTGGCAGGCAAACCGTTTACTGCGTATATATATGTATAAAAAAAAAAACAGGGCATCTTCCCCAGGTGAGTGATCATTGTACTGCGTGCTACTGAATTCAACTCTGCTCATCAAAGCTACTCACGCACACAACCTAATTGCTTAAAAAGCCTTGTCCTCAGAAACCCTTGTACAAGTAGACCATTTGTTTTCATAATGAAGAACAACACATTTTCAATGGCGATTCTTAGATAAGCAAGTTTGGTCAAGGTACAGGAAAAAGTTGTACAGCCTCCAGTTGAACGAACTACCAAGGATTCTCTCTTTTGCACCATGAGCCAAGCTATTTGCGAAGTCCAACCTGTTAAATTCACAACTATTTAATGGGACACTAAAGGCAAATACCAAGTTGACATGGATTGTTGAAATCGCATTCCAGAAACCACGTGATGCTTGTTTCATGCCAATGAAATCATTAATTTGGAAGAAAATCACATTTTAGTGGTCTGCATAGACCTAGGGCAATTGGAACAGCCTGCTTCGCGAACAGCGTTCTGACATAGCATTTCCCATGCCTACAGTATGGTCCAGAGAAAATAGGGGCTGTAGTGGTCAAATGCCCAGCGTTGAAAACAGTAAACAGAACTGGTGTCGTTCAAAAATAATGCCAATAAATTGAAGGGCCTTTAAGCTTCGCCTTTAAGAGTTGAGCACGATAGCGATAACCTGTCTGTAGTACATACTTTGAACACTTGATGCACGAAATCTTTTTGAAAAATTGCTATGCACCCCCTACGTGGCCTTTTAAGGGAATAGGCGCAGTAACCTGCGTGCTTTGTGTAGTGGGTGGCAGGCTTTACACCATGAAAAATCATTATGATAATAGCATGTTCCAACGCTCGATGGAAATGTACGCTTGTACCACGCATTATTATTTCAATATGTAATGCTGCATTGTGAAGCCTGAAAGTTACTTTCCCAACATTTCCGAATCGAGGAAGTTATTTTCTCTATTCAAAAGCAGATGCGTGGCTGTGTGTTAAAACACCCACTTGCCACGCATGTGACCCGAGTTCGATCCCCACTCAGACCCAGAATTTTTTTTTTGTTATCAATTTTTCGGTCACGCACAAGATTACGATTCTTTGCTTACAACCAATGCTGCCTACACCAGCATTTCTGCGAAACAAGCTCTTTGACGCGATCACTTTAAAAGTTATTGTTTTTTGCATGAATTTGCAAAAGTTTCAATTTATTCCATCTAGTAATGCAATGAAAGTGGCTCAAGTACGTGTGATAATTTTAAAGACTCCTCACTGCTTCATGGGGCTTCCCTTCCAGAATGTCCCATTGATGGTGTGAACAGAGTCCCACAGTAGTACAGAACGCAGTTACTTGGTAATGCACACGGACACAGCAAGAGGATCACACGGGTGCTAACTTTAAAGTGAGGATTATTTTTTGCAGGAAGAGAACATACATGAAAAGAATTGGTCATGCACAATTACTCTGCCCAACACAAAAATATAGAAATATAATCAAGAATTTCACTTCATCGTCAGACAGGGATAACGATAGGTGGCTTAGGCATTTATCACCGAAACTTGCCATGAAAATAAAAAAAGCTTCAGCTACCCCTCTAGCTGTTTTATCACCGTTTCGAAGTAGAGCAGTAGTGTCACCAAAACACGGGGTACATCTGCATTTCTCACCGTGATGGGACAGGATCTCTTTCTGACAAAATAAATGTCAGTTTGAAGTTAGCACTTGTGTCACCCTCTCGCTGCGCCCATGTGTTTTTGCACCATTTCAAAATACGTCGACTCCTACACTTGCCTCAACTTTTTTTTATTACTAAAATGATGCTGTATATGATGATACTGCTTTAGACGTTCTCAAGACCTCTCACTCTGACGTAAAGTGTGATTTGCCACTATCGTCCCTTACAAGGTGCACGTTTTCCATGTGGGTCACGTCACTGGCCTTAATATATACACTGCTATGGGGCACCGACACCCTGCCACGCTGAAGTTGTAGCGGCAACTATATTTGCTGTCCAACTCCTCCAAGCTTAAGCACGGCAAATCGGCCAGCACGGTCGCGGGTTACACACCGAGTTGCCCAATGCCCACTTCCAACGGCCCGACCGGTGGTTGAAAGGTTGTCGGTTGGCTGCTCAACCGAACTGCGAAACGCTCCAGAAACGATACGCGCTCGCCACTTTCTCTCCCCCTCCCCCCCACGACGGGGAGAAAGGGCGTCGTCAAGCCAGGGAACAACAAACGGTCAACGAAACAAAGCGCCAAAACCCGCGGTCGGTCGCAGAGCCTTCAGCCTCGCAACGGGCGAAAGCGGCGTCCTTTATTAAACGGAGACGACCTTGGCGGCACCGCACTCGCCCGCCCTGCACGCTGGGTGGGCCATGGATCGTCGCGTCGACACCGCCGGAGCGCTGTTTCACGCTTGACTTCGCCCGGCCAGCGGCGGGCGCGCCGATCATAGCGCGCCGGACGCGGCGCGGAACGCCGAAGAACCGCGCACGCACTACTACACAAACACACGCGCGCGAGCCAATCTTCGCGGATCGTCGACCCCGAGACTTTTTTTTTTCCTAAATAGCTTCTTTCTCCCAATGCTCCGCGCATGGTCCGATTGTACACTATCGACCCGTCGTTAAATCTTCGCTCGGTGGAGAGAACCAACCGTACTGGGACAAAAAAAAAAAAAATCTTCAACGTTTACGATTCACCTGCGCGGCGCCCTTAACCGTACTTCAGGAGTGCGGAGTGCAAACGCTCATAAGCAGAGGGAAAAAAACGAAGCATACAAATTCAACCCGCGAAGCTGCCATGCCCAGTGTAATAAGATTCTCCCCGCTGATTTACTTAAATACTTGACTACGTAATCTGTCACTTCCCACCTAAAATATAACGTTTGG